AGAAAAACGCAGAGTCTGCGGGCGCGTCCAACCGTTTTGTGCGCCGCGGCCGTTCATGCGTAATTTTTTCCCTGGATCAAAATCGGCGACGCTCTTCTGTGTACCGGCGCTCATCCGTCCGTAATCTGCTAATGCCGCGCCGATTGCCGCGGCTGCAATAGTGCGGTGTATTCACCCGTCGGTGTGTGCTCGTACATAACGTAATCTGTGAGTGTCTCTACGTACACACGTGTTAATCCAGCCAAAGCACATGGATACATACACGGAAAATTTAATTCCAGCATTTCCAGTGGGCCAAACACAATTTGTTGTTGTCTGTTCTATACGAAATAAAAAAAGACTTATATGGAAGGTGTGACAAAATAAATTTCTATTTTTTCTTAATAATCAATCAAAGAGAAAATTGTCGAAATAAAATATGTATTTAAAACAAATAAATTTACAAATTAATAAAAGTAATATACGAGAAAAAAATTTTTTCATCATATTATTGCTATTATCTGAAAATTTAAAAAAAAAATTTGTTTAAATTTAGCACCCAAAAAAATAATTTATTTTGCATTTTAATTATTTAAAATATTTATTTTGACTTGGTGCAGTAGTGATTTTTTTTCTTGATGTAATGTTTACCAAGAATGGAGAATTAAGATAAATTGACCGAATCGTCAGTCATTTGTCAAAACTGGTCAACTGGTGATTTGAAAACTACTGCTTAAAGTCAACTCAACTGGTAACACAATTTCTCTCTCGATTGCAAATATTTGGAAATCTTGCGCAAAAATTGACACTAACGAGGAAGGGACTATGTTATTAAAAACTGTTTTATTTGGTACTTATTCTAATTCAACCTCTCTAAAAAAAGGTCTTTTAAAGTTGACTCGATTATGCCGTTGTGTGGTCAATTATTTCAAAAAGGTTTTTTGGTTCTTAGTTGGTCATGGTTTAAAATAAATTTGTGTGATTGTCATTTTTCTAAATTGTTTACAGTTCTTTTGAATCAGTCATTCGACAAGTGAGGTCTTTTTTCAAAAAGCCAAAATTATTTTCCCAGAAGAAAATGCTGTTTCCCATATTATTTAGTGCAGCTTCTTCTACATCATCAGGAAAAAGTCTTCTACCCACTTACACAGCAGCCCATCAACTTTTTCCGATAATTACAACTCACCACCAGCAACGGAGTTTTGTTCTCCGAAGCTATTGCTCCGTCGTCAGTTAAGGTGATTCCGCGCTTCGAGAAGAAAGGGGCTGCACAACTTAATGGCGAGGCGAATGAATTCCAATTACGCAGCAGCGCGCACGTAAGACGAAATGAGAGCCGACGCACAATGATTGTTTTCCTCGTTTGCGGATCGCCTTGCACTCTTCTGCGCTCGTTATACCTGCTCGACGCATTTGTATGAAAAAAAAAAAATAAAACGAGCATAGCTCAACTTACCGCTGCTTGTTTGGTCTGGCTTCAAGTGGCAGAACTGATTGTGAGTAAGTAGATGGGGTAGAATTTAAACGACGTTCTAATTAAGTACAATAAAAAATGAAAAAAAGTACAGTATTAATTAATATAAAGTAGCTCTAGCTTTTAAATCCCTAAATCACACTTACATAAATTACGAATCGAATGGTCAAGTTTTTATGATCTTACAATTAGAATTTAAAAAAATAAATATTTATATATTGGTATTATTCCACTTTTCTAAACATTATTTGGCAAAATTTAATTCAATAATAAAAAATTTAAAAGTTTTAAAGTATTTAAATCAAGTAAAAACATGTAATTTAATAATACTATTTGATTTTTACAAATAATTTAGTTTTTAGTTTTATATTTTATTTATTATTTTATTTTTTTTTATTTTTAGAGTCATTTATTGGAATGAATGGAACATAATATTTGGATTGTTTATAATTTGACTAATATATTTAAACATTTAATTAATAAATTTATCATCGCTGAACAGCAATTGTTATATCATGCTACAATTTGAAATCAGTTGTCAACATGGAAGATGTTTGTATTATTAATATAATATTACATATAAATTTGAATGTCATAAAGGTTGTATTATTGCTGTGCATTTATCACTAATGTACATTATGCAAATCGAAAGTAGAGAGCTAAGAATCAAAACAATAAATAATGCGCACCTAAAAAGAAAAATTAATAGCGTTTCACGAGCAATGTATCAAAAATAAAATCAGGAAAAATCTTCCCAAGTTGAACTTCAACCAACAATTAATTAAGCCACGGAGAAGTTAAAATTCTGAGCAGCTTTTTCTCTAAGTAAAATTGCCTCAAAGCCAATAACAAAGACAGCGCCCTTCAATAGGATGTTTGCTTGAATGGAGTGCGAGAGAGTCGAATGTATTGAATTGACGGTGAATTCCTTGACCACTTCACTCACTCTTTTGGCGCGGAGGCGGTGCGGTCAGAGAGAAAGAACCGATGATAGCCGTGTCCTGCGTGATCTCTCGCTGGAATCACAAAATCGATATCGGACAAGCAAAGGAAGTGGCGGCGGCGGCCTCCGTAATGAAGCAGTTGGCCTGAAGAATGAATGGTTCCTTTCTCTCTCACGTCGCTTTTTCGCTCCCTCTCGCCTTTTTTCCTTTTCGGCCCCTTTCACCACTTGGCACTCAATTCTATCTCCCTTTTCCTATTTCGGCGCAGAACAAAGCTGCACACGCAGTTCTCTCCTTCTCTCGCTTAACTCTTTTATTATATCAAAATAAAAGGCGCCTTGGTATAAAAGCACCGCTCTGGCATGAGAGAGAAACGGGCGAGCGAGAGTATTTAAAATTTATTTACAGTCACTTTTGTTGATGTTCTTTGAGGGGGATCGAGAGGAAATTCGCAAAAGCGCCCTTTTGCAAAAAGCATTCTTTTGCCGTGGAGCAAAAATGCAAATCGCGTAAGCGACGGAATTCATCATTTTATTTTTCTACCTTGAACCATTGAATGGTTTGAGATCTCTGCTCGTGCAAAATTGAAAAGTCACTTTTTATTAGTCCTTGAATGGATGTTGCAAGTAATGGCTTCTAACGTCGGTGGTGAGCATTGAATTGAAAGAGGGCAATTGCATTTGATTTGGCGCAAGCGTGAAACTCAGCATGCAATTTAAAACCTTTCTTCAAAAAAATTATCACTTAAAAATTATTTATTAAGATAATATTAGGTAATTATTGGTTCCACATTTAATTTTCATTAATTTAAGATTGTTTTAAAAATAATGTTGTTAAAAATGCAGATTATTTTTTATTAATAAAATCATTTTAGTGTGCTTGAGTGTTCGTCACTCAACTAGAATTTTTTAAATTTTTTCTTAAATTGCGAAAACTCTTCATTAAAACCATAAAAACACCTAATAAAGCTTATATTGTTTCTGGAAAATCGTAAAATGAAAATCAATTACTGGTTTTAATATTTTTTTAGTAAGAATACAAGATAAATTAAAATTTCTGGAGATAATATAAAGAAATAATTATGTTATATTTAGCAAGTTTGTTTATAGTTCCGACTTAACCAAGCCCATACAAGCTATAACGAAAAACCGAACGATTTATGCAACCTGCAGGACACAGTCTTTTTCAAAAGCGGCTTCAGCAGAGCTTGAGTCATTAGTCCCCGCCGCTGATGCAACAATAAAGAATCTTTTTATAATTAATGTGAATTTAAAAAATCTAATAATTCAATTTTTTAATTAAATCATAGCCACTTTTTTCCATTTTTTGGGGAATTATTTATGAAGCAGAAATTACACAAGCACAAATTCTGTATTCCTAACAGTCGCCAAACTGCGCGTAACGCATCCAATCAGAAAATCACCAAATTACCGTCGTTTCGTTGCCTTTCGGCTTGATGGAGCAAAAGAGCCGTGATTTTAATGCGAATTCGCGACAGAGCGAATTTCTGGCGGGTGCAATCATCTCGTTGCTCCGCCAGAGATAAAGTTTTATTTACTAAACACTGCTCGCCGCTTTTTATTGTTGGTCGTCAAAACAGAGGCGAGTTAAAAGTTTTCGGATAAAGAACTTTGCTTGGTTGGCTTCATCAGTGAGCTCTGGTTTTACATCGGACGAGCCGAGAAGAGAGGAAAAGACAAAGTTTTATCTCAAAAACGTTCCTTCTCTTTCAAAATGGTGCTGTGTGTGTGCTGAGAGAGCGCGCGAGTGTAATCTGCATATAAATGAATCGATTACGGCCTTTGTAAAGTTTCTATAAAACCCCCTTTATTAAACTGTAAATCTGTGATGTGATAGAAAAGCGCTTTCCTGTGCGAACGTATATAAGATGTTTTCGCTACAAAACGGTTTGTACAAAAAGTATATAAAAAGTCCCCACGGAGGGAGAGAATAAGTAAGTGCGCGTCACGCCTGGAAATAATTATTACTTTTCCATTTCACTTTGTTTTAAAAAGTTATTAAAACTTTTCCTTCCGCGCTGCCTCTTGAGTAAATATTGATTTTATAAATGCTGATTGACTTCTTTTTCTCTTCCTTCTTCTACTTCTTTTTGATACGCCGAGAGCGGGGGAGGAGAAATTGAATTCTTGTTTGGACGATATGCGGGAGAAGAAAGTTTTTGCCTATATCAGTTTCCTTGCGAGAGGCAGAGCAACCCGTGTTGCGCGTGGTTGAAAATTTCAATATAAGTGAAACGAACGGATACCCGAGATACCGATGATTGCCTCCCAAGAAAACTTGCCGTGCCGGCAATATTAGGGCCCAGCACTGGCTAGCCAGACCGGCCCGGCACTGGCTTGTGGTTCCGGTTCCGCAACGGTTTTGGTACCTCGGCCGACGCGCGGCCACTGTTATGGCACCATGATGGCATGCCACGACGTTGCCGTAGAGGCTTCTGTCCGGTTTGCCATTATTAAAATTTTTACTTTTTTCTCATTTTTCATTTTTAAATATGGTTTAAATAAATAACATAAAAATTGTCCAAATTTGTATTTTATAAAATTTGAAATTTTATTCAATCAACTTGTAAATTTTACATGAAGGAAAAATCTAAATAATTAAATTTTTGTTGATAACAATATTAAATTGTACAAAACTTAACTATTCAAAATTCGGAGGCCCCCCGTCTGAATTAGCCGCTTCCCGCTGCTGAACAAAATCTGGCACAGATGTAAAATTCTAAAATCAAAAATTAAAAAGAAAATTAATTTATTTGTTTTAAAACAGCAGCGCAAAATCTTTATGAAATTAATACAATATCAACATGCACATTTCGTAACGGAATATCTTGAGAATAAATGAATTTATCGTCAACTCTAGATAAAAAGAAAATATAAATTATATTTTAAAACTGGTATATTTGTATTTATCCTATTATTTTATTAGTAAAGTGTTAATTTTTCGCGCATACTGCAGATATTTGAGGTATTTTTTTCAATGATATTAAAATCATAATAATTATTACTAAATATTAAAATAAATAAAATAATTTAAAAGTATTATGTAAACACACCTTGAAATTGAATTTGCCAGTTTTTTTCTTCCGATGTACAAGGGAGTTGAGGCACATGTGCTTCCCGCGGCCGGGAGACAGCCGATCGTTGAAGGCTGCACAGAAATGATGGAAAAGTTTTAGACAGTCAGCATTTGCAAACGAAAAGGTCGATTTCAAAAAGATTTGTGAATAATCAGCTTACCTTAATAATTCAATTCGTGTAGTTCGTTCTTCTTTGTATGATTTCGCCACGTTTTCCGCGCTGCCGCCATAAGAACCGCAGAAGAACAGGAAAATTTGTTAAGATTATTTAAAATCCAACGCGTCTCTCGCCATGTTTTGACGCTGCCTGCTGCTTGCAAGTTGCGAGCAGGTAAGGAAGCGCGTGACGTCAAACCAATCCCAGTGCTCAAATACAGTCACATGACCTCACTGCTGTGTGCGCGCGCATATGCAGGCTGCGTGCAGGTCGGCCGTAACGCAGCCAGCATGGCCAGACTGCAGATTATGGCCATCAGTCCATCATAATAATATTTACAAGTTTTTTTTTAATTTTTAAAAAAAAATGTTCAAAATAAAAAATTATGATTTCGCAGTTATTACATACGACTATTTGATCAGAAAGATTTTTCTCAATATTTTTTCCCGATTCTTTAAATCCTTCATTCACAATCTATAAAACTTACACAAATCATTTTATGATTTTTAAAATTTCAAATCCAGGTTGCAAGGAAGCTATTTTTACAAAATTAATTTAAATTTCTGCAGGTTTCAAAATTTTCATGCAATTTAATTGAAAAGGAAAAATTTCCCATACAGTTGCCATTACCAAACCATTATGGGCTTGCCGTTACTGGACTTAGAAAAATTATATGGCTCATTTCCTCTCCTGTGAGTACTGGCAATGAGCTGGCCGCTCTCGCTTGCCAGCGCTCTAGCCAGTAGCCGTCATCGCCCCAGCACTGCCTGTATAGGCCCAGCACTGGGCCGGCATGGCAAGTTTTGCTGGGCTTTCACTTGCAACGTTCTTGTGAATAGTTCTAAAGTTGACAGGAAATTATGCAAACCTATTAATTCAAAGCTAGTCAATTTCTGAGTTAACAGGAACTATGCAGGTTGTTAATTAATTGTCATTGTGTAAAATGCAATTAAAAAAGTCAATTGCATATAAATCTACAAAATTTTGTAAAGCAAACGTAAAAGCAAAAATTGTATTTAAAAAATAAAAATAAAAAATATTATTTTCAAAACTTGCACTCACAAAGCACATTAAATTTTATATTATTATAAAAATTGATACTATTAAATTATTTAGTTATAGATTTTATAAAAAGCACAATTTAATTTTTATTTTTAAATAATATTTTTTGTAATTTATTTATTTAATATTTATTATTGAATATTTTTTTTATTAAATATTGTTAATAATAAATGTACATGTTATCTACAAAAGGTAGCCCAATGATGGTGTTGAAAAAAAAATAATATTATTTATACCTTTGTGATGAAAATCACTGATATGTAAGCTTGAATTCAAAATTCAAATTTAATTCGTTCCAATCTACTGTGAATCATAACTGGATTAAATGTTTCTCAAAAATATTTTACATTTGATTAAAAAAAAATATAAGAAGATGGTTGCAAATATTTATTTACCATTCAAATCAATTTATGCATCTAAACAAATTAATGTATTTTGGCAGAAAAGATTAAAGACACCTGCCCTTTAATTTTTAACACAAAATAAAAACGATTTTACTTAAAGAATAAATAAGACACCGAATAATATGCGAACACTGATTAAATTAAATTTCATTTCTCTTATATATTCATCCGTTTGTAAAATAATTTTCCATGTATCAATTTGTTGGAGTGTGAAATATGAATTGAAGTTCAGAACCATCTAGTTTTTGATCAAATGCAGATTCGCCGTCGTCAAATCAGATCAAAGCGGCGCACTACTAACTTGATTAGTCAAATAAGTGCTAAATGGATAATGCTGGCGTGCAAATTATCATATGAAATGCTGGGTGCTTAATTAAGATTGCTACAGCACCTCAAACGACTTGTTAGTTTTGCATGCTGCCAGAGAGAGCGAAACGTACGCAGCAACTCAGCAAATATCTGCAAGTCAGCCAGAACGCACTCGGAATTAAAGGCTTCCCTTGGTAAGCGCATTAAAATAATAATACGCCGCTTATTGCGATTGGCAGACGGGCAAAAAGCCTACTTGCTCCCGGGGTGTTTGTATTTAGTTTTCTGATTGTTGCAAGTTGCTTTGAATTGCATAATTGCAAAATTAATTTCATTTCAATGTGATTTTTGTACGGTAATAAGTGGATGTTTGCAATTAAAGTTTCAATAAATTAATTGTAGGTAGCGAAAAATAGTTAGTATTTTCAATTTTGCAACTTTAGAAGTGCACGCAACCAGGCACAACACAGAAATTTGATTTTAATTTCACCAATTTCTAATTTGTTTCCATTCATTACATTTTTTCTAGGCAACCGTTATTATGGATTGTTCAACATCAGCACCTTCACTGCGCTTTTTCAATAAGATTCTAAGCCATTAGAGGTGGTTCAAGAGCAAACTGAAAATTCTTCATATTCTCCTTTTTGAAAACTGCTTTTTAGGTTGCATTGGCAAATATTAAAAGCCCAGAACGTTTAAATTTACACCTAATTATAAAAAAAAAATATATTTAAAAATTTAACCGTACAAAAAATTCTTTGAAATCAGTTTTTTCTCCAAAATAAATGCGCCTCTTGATTGTGTACCTGTTTCTCAGCTGTTTTTGTTGATGTTTGGATTTGTCGGCGCTGCGCAATCACAGAGCACAACCCGCCAGCCCCTGGCTAACACAAAAGGCAAACTAGGATGGCAGCAGAGCGGCCATTATTCGCAAACAGTAGGTGTTTTAGTTTTAAATTAGCATCCAGTTAAAACTTTTGCCCTCTCCGGTCTCTCTCTCTCGCTTTGGTTTCAAAGCCAGGACGAGCGCCGGAAAATAAGGGCGGGCCAAATTTAGCACAGCCCTTTGCCCGCAGCACGTATAAAGCGGACAAAAAACTCCAATTAAAGAGGAACTTTAAAAAAAAATATAGTTTTACTCTTTTGAATGAACCACTGCTATAGTTAGCAATACAACGTGCTGATCTCATCAGGAGGATGAGAGATTTCCTCTTGCAATAAAATTTTTACGGCTGATTGTATGAACTCGGCTGGCAAAAAGTTAAGTAATGTCGGCGCACACGCTTTCTAGCCGTTTCATCTCCGCATTGCCAGAATCGCTGGAGAGAAAGATGCTTTTTGATGGCCGATTTGTATTTATGTGCTTGCGCTAGCCGCTCGCAAATTACATGGCGCCGTGCCAACGGTGCGCGACCACTGCGCAAGATGCATCCAAGTTTATTCAAACTTTTCCACCAACAGCCTTAAATACACAGATAAACTATTTCCTTAGTTGAAGATTAGTATTATTTCAAAAGGTCTTTTTGTAGTTTACTTAAAAAATAATTATAATAATTGAAGGCGAGCAGTTTTAGGTGCTGAAATTAAAAGTGTAAAAAAAAAATGGAAAATCAAAGTTATATTCAAAATATTTTGGCGAGTGAAAATTATTGAAAACAAAAAAAATTCTATAAAATTTGCCTCAATCTTAATTTGAGGGGAAATATTAAACAAATGACTGGCGCTTAGGAAACTTAAGATCTGTAATTTCTTTCTACTGTTTTACAAAATTCATTAATCAATGTTTTGACTCAAAAAGAAATCACTGAAAATTTGATTCGTTTAAATGTTAAAAATTAATAAAAATTGGCTGACAATGAAGTGCACATATTGATTTTCCTGCTTTGAATGCAAATTCCATTTTGTCCACTCGTCACACTTTAGCACTTTTCCATTGCGCCGCTTTTCCTTCTCTCGGCAATAAAGACGCGCGCGCGACAGCGTTATATTACATGAAAAGCGCCAAGGACTAATATCTAGTGAAATTTCATTCTGAATGGAAACTTTTTGATGGCCTATAAAGTTCTGCTCAGCATCTCTTGAATAACTAGATGAAGAAGAAGTAAAAGGGAATGGAATAATATAATATTTTATTGCATCAGCACCGAGGCGGCAGTAGGAATATATATTTTACATTCCTCCCGCACCTCGGGCAGTTTTTCTCTCGTTTTCCGCCAACTTTCGCTCCGACGCTCACGCAATAAAAACACATGCGCTGCTTTTCTCACTCGAACGCATAATTAGGTTAATATTTTTAATGTTTATACAAACAAAACCTTGGATTTTATTTCTTTCAAAGTCCAAAAGAAAAAAATCTCGTTTAAATTATGCAGAATGTTTTATTGTTTTAAAATAAAATTTTTGTAAAAACAGCACTGTTGAAATTTCATTATTTTCCGAAATAAATTGTTAATTTAAAGTGGAGCTTTCAAAGTAATTAATAATTAAGGTTGTTTGGTTATTTTTTCCTACGCAACAACCCACACAACACTTGCAAATCCCATCATGGATATTTTTTTCAGATTTAAAAATCATTATTAACCATATTATTTTTATTTATTTTATGATATTATTTTACATGAGTATTTAAATGATTTGTTTATTAAAATTTTAACCTTAAACGTACTTAAAATTCACCTCTAGGACTTTGTTCATGCCAGCATTTTCCAGCAGAAAATCTCAAAAGCGTCGCTTTTGAGGGTTCTCGTGTTGCAGGAGAAAAGAGCTGGAGAGAGTTATTCACATTCTTGCCAGCGCAGGAGCCACACACTCACAACAGGCTCCGGGGGTAATGAAACATTTAAAGTCACTTTTGACGACGTCATAAAGGTGTAAGCACGCATTATAGGTGCGCTCTCGGAAGCGCGTGCGAGACAATGTGAAATAAATAACGGCGAGAACAACGCGCACGCACACAAAAACAACCGCCCCGGTGCACCACGGCATATATAAAAGATGCAAACTTTCATATTATTAATAGCTAAGACGTCTAAATTTCGAAATTATGAATTCCGAGATGAGAAAATAAATAACATCATTTGCATAGCATTTGCATGACAAAATCGTCGCTCATTCAATTATTGAATTAATGAACATAGCTGCTAATTAAAACCATAATATATGATTCCTGGTCTGAATGGAGAGCGTTGAATTTATTGCATTTCTCGCTCGCTCGAACAATGAGGCAGAAGTGCACACTGCGGCTCTCAAAGAGCTCATAATCGCCGGGGGCACGACAAGAAGAAAAGAGCAGAGCAATTATGCGGTGGAGCAGCTCCGCATATTATTCTCGAGGACTTCAGCCTCCTCCAAATTGTCCGCGAGATGAAGTGCATGGCATTTTGCAGCCGCACGATGTATTTCACCTGCCTCTTTGTCTTAATTATT